GGTCCCTGGTGTGAGTCCTGTGGATCTAACATTCTGACATTCTGGTCCCTGGTGTGAGTCCTGTGGATCTAACATTCTGACATTCTGGTCCCTGGTGTGAGCCTGTGGATCTGACATTCTGACATTCTGGTCCCTGGTGTGAGCCCCTATGGATCTGACATTCCGGTCCCTGGTGTGAGCCGCTGTGCATCAGACAGCACTATCAATGCCCACTTTCTTCTGTGAGGCAGCAGGTTCACACTCTTAGAATCACGGGCTATGTTTACTTTGTGTCAGTGAGGATATGCCGGCAACCTAAGACTTGCACTTTCCCATCCACTGTTTCTATGACACTTTCTGGTGGCTGACTTCTTTTTCAGCAGTGAGATCCATTGTTTTGTCATCATTGTGAGACTTGGTGCCCTAGTTATTGACTGTTCTGTTCAAGATGATTAACTACTACAGAAAAATGTAATTTCTTTCTTATGAAAACAGCCTTGGGATAACTTCGGGTTTTTAAAAGCATGTCAGCATTCTTGCAGATCTGATAGCATTATGAGCTCGTATATCTTACCATTGTGAGGTCAGGGCAGAAAAGACATCATCCCTCTCAGAATCCTGGAACAACTTCAGAAGTTCTGGGTCACCAGATAAGTGTGCAAGAATGCGCAATTCAATCTGTGAAAAGTCTGTGGAATACAGCTCTGCATTAATTCACAATCTCTGAACCAGTTCCTGCATTCCACCAATAGACGACTTTCTACCACCATATTTCCATTCTCACTGGGGTATTGGGGGTCAGCAGCCTACCACCCATCTTCCAGGGTCCTTGGGTCTCAGCCACCAGCCATTCCCTTGTCTCCAAATTCAAGATACCTCTCCTGCCTTCTGTGGGGCCAGAAATGCCTCCAGGTAGGCTGTCCACAGGTATTCATTCAGTTCATCAATATTTTATAAAGGGCCTACTATTAGACTCTTGGTGTGGTGACATAGAATCAGCACTGGACTCCAAAGCCACCGACTGCTCCTCAGAAACTCTACACAGGGTCACTATGAGTCGGAATCCACTCAAGGGTACTTAACAACAACTATGTGTCAAGCTCTGTGCTTAGAGTATATCAGTGATTACAACAGCAATCCTGTCCCCATGGAGCTTACCTTCTGCTGGGCAGGCAGACAATCAGGGTCCATTATGGGGCATGTTCAAAAGAGATCATGGAAAAACTGAGCCAGGTAAAGAGCTCTGGGGGTGAGGGTGTGTGTGTGTGCGTGAGAAGGTGTGTGTGAGTGAGTGAGAGAGGTGTGTGTGTGTGTGTGTTTGTGTGTGTGTGTGAGTGTGAGTGAGGGTATGTGAGTGATGGGTGTGTATGTATGAGTGAGGTGTGTGTGGGAGGGAGGGAGGGTGTATGTGTGTATGTGTGAGTGAGGTGTGTGTGTATATGTGAGTGATGGGTGTGTGTGTGAGTGAGGGGTGTGTATGTGTGAGTGAGGTGTGTGTGTGTATATGTGAGTGAGGGGTGTGTATGTGTGAGTGAGGTGTGTGTGTGTATATGTGAGTGATGGGTGTGTGTGTGAGTGAGGGGTGTGTATGTGTGAGTGAGGTATGTGTGTGTGTGAGGGAAGTTGCTGTCATAAGTAGGGTAGTCAGCAGCGGCCTCATCAAGAAAGGGACACTTGAGCCCCATCAGAGAGGAGGGAAGGGAAGGCGAGAAGCCGGGGTCTGGAGAGGTGTTCTGAACGTGGGCTCAAGCTGAAGATGTGCAGTGTGTTAGAGTAAGGTCCACGTGGCCAGCTTGGCTGCAGTGAGGGACGGAAGTGGGAAGTTAGGTGACAAGGACAGAGAGGAGAAAGGAGGGTAGACCTAGTCTGTCTGTGTAAGGGGTACTTGGGATCTAGATACGGAAGGAAGGTGAAGGGATCCTCACAGCTCCTGTTTTTATTTGCTGTACATAAGAAACCTTTGTTTTACATAAGAACTTATTTATCTTAGAATTTATTTGTAAGAATGTTATTGCTGTTATGTGCTATGGTGTTGGTTCCAACTCACAGTGACCCTGTACAAGGTTTCCGCTGCTGTAAATCTTTACGGGAGCAGAAGTCTTCATTTTTCTCCCACGGAACAGCTGGTAGTTTCCAACTGCTGAAGGTGAGATTAGCAGCCCAATTTGTAACCACTACGCTAATAGGTTCTGTAAATATCTTTGAGTGATTTGATCCCCAAATCTTTGTACTGTTACCACATAAACCAAATCCTCTGCTATCGAGTTGACACAGAAGAACTGCCCCACAAGGTTGCCAAGGCTGTAAATCTTTGCAAAGCAGATTGCTACATCCTTTTCCTCTGGTGCAGCTGGTAGGTTTGATCCGCCAAACTTTTTGTTACCAGCTGAGCGCTTTAACCATCATGCCACCAGAGCTCCTAGAATCCCTAAGGTGTATGATCATTACCCGCAGTCTCTCCTACCTGCTGCCAGGAAGGTGTGGCCTTTGGATGAAACAAACATGGTCCTGGGGGAGATGGTGAGGGTCTCATCTTCTTTCCCTGAATCATTGTTGGAAGAGCACTTTGTGAATTTGTTCAGGTACAGACCCACAGTTATTTCTCATACAAATGTTTTTCTAACATCGTTCCAAAGTTCAAAGACTAGATTTCAGATTTTTTTCTGAATTATTTTTACTACTGTAATTTTCAGTAGCATTAAAGAAAACCAAAACCAACAACCAAACCTAAAATTCACTGGTGTCAGGTTGGTTCCAGCTCATAGCAGCTATAGGGCAGCATAGGACAGCTCTCTAGGGTTTCCAGGCTGTAAATCTTCATAGGAGAAGACAGCCACCTCCCTCAGAGTGGCTGTGGGTTTGAACAGCCAACCTTGAGGTTAGCAGCCCAATGTGTAACCCAAGGCTCCTTTTAAATCACACATCACTACTGAAAGTTCACTAGACTTGATTTTCTGCCCTCAATTGCTGTTGTTGTCATCAAGTGCCATGGAGTTGGTTCTGACTCACAGTGACCCTGTATAGGGTTTCCAAGGAACAGCTGGTGAGCTAGAACCGCCAACCTTGTGATTCAAATGAACTTGCAGTCCAGCACAGGACTCCACTGGTGGTGCGTGTGCCGTGGAGTTGGTTCTGACTCATAGCGATCCTGCATTGAGTTTCCGAAGCTGTAAATCTTTATGGGAGCAGAAAGCTTCATCTTTCTCCTGCAGAATGGCTGGTAGTGTTGAACTGCTGACCTTGAAGTAAACAGCCCAACTAGAATTTCTCAAAGAAGATATGACAATCTAATGTCATCGGAAAAGCCACGAAGAGCCTCTATCTGCCTTCCGGATCAAGAAGTTTGACATAGGAGCTGCCCTAACTCTAACTCTGTGATGAGCCGCTACCATTGCTGCTAAATTCTGTGCTTCTTGGTTCTAAAGGTTTTTCTAAAAAACACTTAATGAGACTTTAAGATAAATGTTCAATTGTTAGTGTGTTTAGTTCAGGGCTAACGTTGGTTCACTTTGAAAATAGCAAAGTGAAAGTGTGTTCATGACTTTCTTCTATAAAGAAGTACACACACTACACATTCTTCCCACTGTATTTACCCAGGACTCGTGGAAAGTAATTACAAGCAGATTTACCTTCTCGTGGAGGGAGTACCTGGCTCTCACTTTACATTGAATTAAGTTGGAAAGTTTGACTACTCTGAGGAGTCGATACTCTACCCAATGGATAGGATGACATTTTGTGAATTTAAGGGGCTACCTATGGAAAACTAGAGGTGTCTTGGGTCCCACTGACTTTCTACCCAGTGACAAGGGAAGAGCTTCTTCTACTAAATCCATTTTAAGGAGGCCTTCAGAGACAGAGTTACTCAGAATCACTCTCCACCCACTCCTGCCGGCAAGTTGATTGTGACTCACGGCAACACTTCAGAACAGAGTAGAACTGTCCCATAGGTTTCTGAGGCTCTTGTCTTTGTGGGAACAGACTGCCTCATCTTTTCCCCCAGGAGCTGTTGGTGGGGTCAAACTGCTGACCTTTTGATTAGCAGCCCAATGCTTAACCCACAGGGCCTCCAGGGTTTCTTATCACTTTCCACAGATCTCATGGGAGCGTGATTACAGCAATTTATAAAGGACAACTCCTCATGTTTGTCAAAGGGAAGGGGCGATAGGCGTTGACTGAAAATGGCGGATTTCTTCATCAGAAACGCAACCCTTAGCTTTACAGTGGAATGGCTCATGAGAGGGAAGAGCGCTGCTGGGATTTGCAAGCAGACCTCACTAAGAAGACAGTGCTCTGTATGTTTGTTTGTCTTTATTAGGTTGTTGGTGGGGGAGAGATAGTAGGAGTCGAGCTGCTTTCTTTGTATAATTATCATCTATTTTAACTTGCAAACTGCTATAAGGGAGGAACCAGAGTGCTTAGGTGGCTTTTTATCTTTTCAGCCTATATTTAAATCCTGATCATGCACACAGACTGGGGAAAACTTCAGGGAAGTGAAGTGGTTACTGGTTACTTAGTGTATACAAGCAATTATAAACACTTCTTGGTCTTTAGAAAAAAGGTTACCCAAGATCTTAGCAATTAGAAAGAAAGATGTTACCTTTAAAATTCTGAGGTTTAGTAATTTGAATGGGATGCTTGGAGATACCTTGGATATTCTGTCAATAAAAAGAAGAGAATGGCTTTAGTTAAAATACCCATTCTTAAATCAATCTGTACTATTTAAAGGTACTTAAAATGTGTCACGCTTTGGTAAACATGAGCTAAATAAGTAATGTTGATGTATTATGCATCAGCATATTCACATTTAATATAATTGTATAATCAGCAAACCTGAGAACAATTCCTTCTTTTACAGTAATTATATACAGTACTTCTTTTAACAGTAGCCTAAATTATGAACTCAGTTAGTGTCTTAAAAATGTCTACATAATATGCTAAAGATAGACTTCTATGAAATTCATACATTGCACTTTCATTTAAAATGTATTTTACGATAAAGATTCTGTTATTCCCCATAATCACTCCCTTCTCCTTTAATACCCTGGCATGTGACACCTTCCTTTGTCTCAGCTCTTCGTGTTCTGCCCAGCAGTTTGTGGCTCCATGTCTGCAGCTCCTACAAGGGACTTTCTCCTAAGCACCTTAGCACCTTTACAACTTGGGGCAACGTGCGATAGACTGCAGACACTCATCAAATAGAAGGATGACTGGTTGTCTGGACACTACTGAAAGCATGACAGTGTGTGTGACAAAAGTCTTTGGAGTCTTGGCAGGAACTGAATGATAACACATGCTCTGTCTGGGAATGGAGCCTCATGGATTAGCTGGTCTTGATTCTCTAGGTGGATGTGATGAACGGTGCTAACTTCTGAGCAGCCACTGTCCTCCCGTCTCATTGGTAAGGGTCCCGGGGGCCACGAGAAACCCCAAGAGGAAGCAGAGCAGGCATTATTGTCCTCATCTTTTCAGGTTTAGGTGAGGATACTGAGGCCTGGGGGAGCTAAGCCAGCATTAAGACTTTTGTAAATTAGACTCACACAATATCTTTTAAAATTATACCAGTTATTCACAGGAGAAACTCAATGGTAGATCAGAGTTAACAGAAAAAAGAGCCAGTAAATTTGAAGAGAATGAGTTCTGGTGGGGTGCTGTAGGATAAGCACTGGACTACAAACCACAAGATCAAACCCACTCCTCGGAAACCCTATACAAGGTTGCTCTGAGTCAGAACTGACCCAGAAGTACTTAACAACAACAAATTTGAAGAGAGATCAATAGAAACTATCAAATCTGAAGAAGAGAGAAGAAAATACTGAGGGAAGAAAATGAGCAAAATCTCAGGAATATATGGTATAATACCAAAAGGACAACATAAAATTGTCACTGTAGTCCCTGTAGAAGGAAAAAAAATATATGTGTGCAGAAAAGTATTTGAAGACTAAAGTTCCCCTAAGTAAGTGAGAGACATAACTTTTCAGAAGCTGAAAGATCTCCAAACAGAATACATTTAAAAAAAAAAAAAAAAAATCAAGCCCAGAAACATAATCAAACTGTTGAAAACCAAACATAAATTCTTGAAAGTGGCCACAGTAAAATAACATAATACATAGTGAGAATAATCATTTAAATGACTGCAGATTTCTCATCAGCAAGCATGAAAGCCAGAAAACAGTGGAACATTTCACATTCCATTCTGGGATGCTCCACCTCATAAATGATTTTTTACAAATTTGCTTAATAAAGGTTAACTCTTTTACTATAAAGCCCTGTAGGTCTTGACAAAAGTGTAACATCATGCACCCTCCATTATAACTATCATATAGGATCGTTATGCTACCCTGAAAATGTTCTTGTGCTTCACCTATTCTACCTCATCTCCTTGACCCTGAATGAGCAACCATTGATCTTTTTACTATGTCTGGAGTTTTGCCTTTTCCAGAAAGTCATAATTGAAATCATATAGTATGTAGCCTTTTTAGATAGTTATTATTCACTTAGCAATATGCATTTAAGATCTATCCTTGTCTTTGTGCCTTGATGGCTTATTCCTTTTTATTGCTGATTGTACATTGTATAGATGTACCATGGTTTGTTTATCCATTCTCCTGTTGAAGGACACCTTGGCTGCTTCCAGTATTGAGTGAAATGAATAAAGCTACCATATATATTTGCATGCAAGTTTTTATGTAGATATAAGTCTCTAGTTCATTTTGGTAAATACCTAGGAATGTAATTGCTGGATTGTGTAAGGCAATTTTAGCTTTGTAAGAATCTGTCAAACTGTCTTCCAGCTTGTCTGTATCATTTTGCATTCCCAACAGCAATGTATGAGAGTTTCAGTTGCTCCACATTCTCATTAGCAATTGGTATTGTCAGTTTTTTAGATTTTAGCCTTTCTAGTGTATATGTAGTGCTCATTGCTGTTTTTACGCCTTCCCCTTTTTTTACACTGCAAATTCCTCTTCATCCTTTCAGTCGTAGCTTAAACCCCCCTTGTTGAGGAAGAAACCTCCCCTAGCACCCTGATCAGGTACACATGCCTGAGTGCCTCTTGTATTGCTCTGATAGCATCTACATATCTCTCAGACCAAATACTGACGACAACATCGTATAATCAGTGTGATGGAGCCCTGCTTCTCTCAGACCAAATACTGAC